ACATATTCTTTACCCATTTGTATGTTGATAGGCACCTGGAATGATTTGATAACTGGATACTATACTGTGAATTGTATTACTATAAACATTGATATGTTTGTATCACTCTGTATGTTGATTTTAGTTCTTGTGGATAAGGAGTGGAATTAAGAAGCAGTGGAATACCTGGGCCATATGGAGGGTCCATTCCTAGTTTTTGAGGAGCTCCATACTGTTTCCAAGTGGTTATACTAATTTGCTTCCCTACTAACGATATATAAGTGTATCTTTGCCCAAATCCTCATCAGAATTTATTATTTGTATCTTTAATCACTGTCATTCTAACTGGTGTGAGATGAAATCTCAGTGCAGTTTTCATTTACATTTCCCTGATTGACAGATATGTTGAATATATTTTCTTATATTCATTTGTAATTTGTATTTCTTCTTTTGAGAAGTGTTTATTGAGTTCACTTTCCCATTTGTTCATTGGATTTTTTGTTGTTAAATTTTGGGGTTCCTTATATATTCTAGATATTAATCCCCTGTCAAAGGCGTAGCTGGCAGAGATTTTCTCCCATTCTCTAGGCTCTCTCTTCACACTCTTGTTTTCTATGTTGTGTAGAAGCTTTTCAATTTGATGTTTTCTCACTTATTAATTCTTGGTTTGATTTCTTGAACTTTAGGAGGTCTTCTTAAAGAAGTCAGTGCTTGTGCAAATATGTTGGAGTGTTGACCCTATATTTTCTTCTCACAGTTGAAAATTTTCTGGTCTAATTCCTAGTTCTTTGTTCACTTTGAATTTACTTTTGTCCAGGGTGAGAGATAATGATCTAGTTTCATTCTCTTAGATATAGACATTCAGTTTTCCCAGCACCATTTGTTTAAAAGCTTGTCTTTTCTCCAACATATACTTTTCTCACCTTTGTTAAGTCTCAGATTACTGTATCTATGTGGATTTGCCCTGTGACTTTTATTCTATTTACTGGTCTTTAGGTCTGTTTTAATGGCAATACCATGCTTTCTTGTTACTGTAGATTAGTAGTATAATTGGAGATCAAGTATTATGATGCCTCCTGCATCAGTCTTTTTGTTCAGTATTCTTTTAGCTATTCTAGGTATTTTTGTTCTTCCTTATAAATTTTTCATTATGTTTCTCCATCAGTGAAGAATATCACAGTCATTGTGATGGGAATTGCATTGGATCTGTTTAAGATTTTTGGTAATATGGCCATTTTGACAATATTAATTCTGCCTGTTCAAAGTATGGTTGGTCTATTGATCTTCTAAGATCTTCAATTTCTTTCTTGAGTGTTCTACAGTTTTTTATTGTAGAGGTTTTCATCTCCATGTTAGACATACCCCTAATATTTTTTAAGGCTATTGTGAATGGGATAGTTTCCCTGATTTATTTCTCAACTGATTGGAGTATAAGAAAGCTGTTATGTATGTAGGTTCCATATCCTGCTACATTGCTAAATTTGTTTATCAGCTCTAGAAGTCTTCGGGTGGAGTTTTCTAGTATTCTACATATAGGATTCAGTCATCAACAAACAGAGGTAATTTGACTTACTTTTCTATTTGTATCCCTTTAATTTTTTCTCTTTTCTGTTTCTTCTGGCTAGAGATTAAAGAATTATATCAAATAGGAGTGATGAGAATGGACATGCTTCTTCCTGATTTGGGGGGAAATGCTTTCACTTTTTTTCCACTCAGTATGATGCTGGGTTGGGTTTCTCATATATACTCTTTATGATGTTGATGTGAGTTCTTTCTAAGTCTAGTTTCTCCTGCATTTTGACAAAAATAGGTGCTGGAATTTATGAAATACTTTTCTGAATCTATTGAGATTATCATGTGATTCTTGATCATGGTATATTATCTTCTTACTGTGTTCTTGAATATGGTTTCTTAATATTTTATTAAGGATTTTTGAGTATATTTTCATTTGAAATATTAATCTATAGTTTTCTTTCCTTGATGTGTCTTTGTCTGGTTTAGGTATCAGGGTGATACTGGTTTCATAGAATGAATTTGGAATTTTTATTTCATGGAATAATTTGAAGAAGATTGGTATTATTTCTTCTCTAAGGATCTGGTAGAACTCAGTTGAGAATCTCTGTGGTCCTGGGATTTTCTCTGTTGGATGACTTTCTCTGTTGATTGCTGCTTTAATCACATTGCTTGATATTGTTTTGTGTATATTTTCTATAGTCTCTTGGTTTAATTTAGGTAAGTCATATGTATCTGGAAATTTGTCAATATGTTCTCATTTTTACATTTCTAGTTGTTTGGAGTATTAATTTTCAAAATAGTTTCAAATGAACCTTCTGATTTTAGACATGTCTGTAGTGACAGATTTTTCATCCCTAATTTGTTGAATTGGATCTTCTGCTTATGATTTTGTTAATTTGGCTAAAGTTTATCAATCCTGTTTAGCTTTTCTTTGTTGTATTGATAATTTTTATTGTTTTTTTTAAATCTCAATTTCATCTGTGAAATTACTTCCTGTCTTCTATTAATATTGGGATAGTTTGTTCTTTTCTTTTTAGGACCTAGAGGTATAGCATTAGATTATTATTATTATTATTTTGTATTTTCTAACACTTGCTTTGTATTCAAAATGTGGTGTCTTTACAAAGAAAGTGAGTTTGCTTGACAATGGCTGAAAATAGTTTATAGATGTCTGTTAGGTTCATTTTATTAGTAGCATTTTTTTTTAGTTCTGAAGGGTCTTTACTCAGTTTCAGTTTGGATGACCTATATGTTGAGAGAAGTTTATTGAAATCAACCAGTATTATTTTATTGGGATCTATTTGAATCTTTCTGTTGACTAGTGTTTGTTTTATATATGTAGGTACACCATTGTTTTGAGACATAAATATTTACAATCATATATTTTGTTGGATGGTTCTCTTAACCACTATGAAGTTACCTTCCTTGTTTCTTTTACTTAATTTTAATTTGAAGGCTACTTTGTCAGATATGAGAGTAGCTATTTCTGTTTACTTTTGGTCTTTCCTCTCAGTCTGTGGATATCTTTTCCTATAAGAGGAATCTCTTAAAACAACTATGGTTGGGTCTTGTTATATTGAATTAAAACAATCTATGCCTTTTGATTGGAGCACCTAGACCATTTAACTTCAGTATTATTTTACAGTGATGATTTTTATTTCCTGCCATTTTGATTTATTTCTAATATTAAATACAGATTTGATTCTTCTTTGATTGACTCTTCTTCCAGTGCAATTCATCCCTTTGCTTGTTCTCATTTTTATTTTACCTTTCTTCTGGGTGAAATATTTCACTGAGTATGTTTGCTAGTGTTTAGTAGTGTTGGCTTAGTGGTTATGAATTGTTATAATTTATATGAATCATAGTAGGTTTTCCTTTCGTCTTCAGTTTGAAAAGATAGTTTTCCCAGACACAACAATCTTGGTTGGCACCCACTAATTTTAAAGTTTGGTATATATTATTCCAGGTCCTCCTGCTTTTTCATTTATTTCAAGAGAATTTGTAATTGCTCATTGGTGCCATTTTATTATAACTGCCTTCTAATCATTTTAAAAGTAGTTCTCATGTGTTATACATCTTAATGTTGGCATCAGTTTATTTCCTTTTCTGATTCTTATTGTGATTTTCTTTATTATTGGTACAATGAGTGATTTTGATTATACCCTTAACATTTACTGAAGAGTACTCCTGATCTTATTTAAACATTCTCTTTTAGAAGGCAGACTTCTAGTTTAATTTTACGTATAGTGTGGCCTGATATTCCAAGGGCAATGTAGCTTTCTTAGGACTTGCCTGTGCTGAATCTCCTGATTCATCTGAAGTGATTAAACTATAAATTTATATGGTACTTTCCTGGGCCAAATGGTATTGATATGGGAGCATGGGTGATGAATACCTGTGGGATGAATAGCAATTCCTCTGGTTATCAGAAGAATGGGTGTCATTGTACTTCTTTCTATCTCTTCTTATGTCCCTTAGTAAGGAATTCTCCTGTCTGGTTGAACTTTTACTGTATGGTTATTAGAAAATATCTTACAGGGATCCTATCCTTTCTCTTGGAGCATGTTCAGGAATTGGTAAATTTGTAATGCTTTCTATTTCTGGGAAGTGATTTGGGATCTGCTTTCTCTTCTACTCTTTGTGAAGGGAGTTACAGGGGTCTGCTACTATTGCTTAACATGAAGTAGGGTATTATATTCCTGTGTGCAGACAGTCATTTCTAGTGATGTGGGTGGGTCCAGCACTTTGCTGTCATTGTGTGCTAAATAAAAATGGATTAGCTCACCTACGCTCTATTGACTACCACAGAGAATAGATCTAGCTTGCCACTCTCCATGAGTAGAGGTAAGGGTATTGTGTAAATTAAAACAAACAAACAAACAAAAGTGGCCAGTGACGCCTGGGAGCTAATAATATATAAACAGACTCATAAGAGACCAATGTGATGACCTGAAATTTTCACAGTAGTGACTACTATAGGAACAGAACTGACTCTAGAGATCACTAGAATTTAAAGGAAGGGAAAAAGGAATTCACTAAAGGAATGTTAGGGGAGAGCTGGGAAAAGAATAAGACTATGAAAGTCAATGGTAGGGAGAGCTTGAAGTAATGATCATCAGTGATTTCTCAAGCAAGATATTAAGAAGAAATCAAAGTGAGGGAATGTCATTTACTATGCTTTTAGGTAGCCCAGAAAAATTAATGGAATGTTTGCAGTTGATATTAGCTGTATTCTGTTAATTATAAGTTATAAAGGATAAGAAAGTTGTTCACAAAATAATTAGAATTATAGCAAGAAATGTTTGAAGTAGGTTGATGATCCTGATGGTTTATAGGCAGAAGACAGTTTAAAGGATCAATTTGCACACCAAGAGTAAGGACACAGAATATCAGATGACTGGTATTATGATGATAGCTAAATCTGAGTGCTTGATGATATCTAGGGAGTAAGAATAAAACTGAGGACTTCATTTAGAAATCAATTATGAATATATCTTCTTTCTTAGGGTGATTGCTTTTATCAAGGAAATGTTGAAGATATTCCACAATCTGCTGTGACACTAGACATCTGCTCAGGACTCAGGTAATGGCATAATCTGACAGTGGACATTGATTGAGGTCTTTTGTCAACTATTGATTTTTAGAATAGAGTGAGACAAAAGAATATAGTTTTTGATTGTGTTTCTTTTCATATACTTTGTTTCCTCCTCTTGTGCCTATCCTTTCTCATATTTGTCTTCTTTGTTTTGACATCCTAAGAAAAAGCCCCTTACTAGCATGAAGAATTTTTATGTTTCTCTGCCATATTAGAACCACAACTCACTTTAAATGCTACAACAGAGGGAAGATCTGTATAAAACTGGTTTTGAAACTTAATTCAAGTGGGAGCTATTCTTGATATAAGATTACAGAGAAATGCAAATTAAAACCACTCTAAGATACCATCTCACTCCAATAAGAATGGCAGCCATTATGAAGTCAAACAACAATAAGTGCTGGCGAGGATGTGGGGAAAAAAGTACACTCATACATTGCTGGTGGGACTGCAAATTGGTGCAGCCAATTTAGAAAGCAGTATGGAGATTCCTTGGAAAGCTGGGAATGGAACCACCACTTGACCCAGCTATTCCCCTTCTCGGACTATACCCAAAAGACCTAAAAAGAGCATACTACAGGGACACAACCACATCAATGTTTATAGTAGCACAATTCACAATAGCTAGAATATGGAACCAACCTAGATGCCCTTCAATAGATGAATGGATTAAAAAATGTGGCATTTATACACAATGGAATATTACTCAGCACTATAAAATAACAAGATTATGGCATTTGCAGGCAAATGGATGGCATTAGAGCAGATTATGCTAAGTGAAGTTAGCCAATCCCTAAAAAACAAATGCCGAATGTCTTCTCTGATATAAGGGGGGTGACTCAAAATGGGATAGGGAGGAAGAGCATGAGAAGAAGACTACCACTAAATAGGGAAGAGAGGTGGGAGGGAAAAAGAGGGAGAAGGGGAGTTGCACGGAAGATGGAAGGAGAACCTCATTGTTATACAGAATACATATATGATGTTGTAATGAGAAAAAGAAAAAAAGTGTGTCACATTAGATTGGATAGAGAGAAAGGATGGGAGAGGAGGGGAGGAGTAGAAGGGATAGGAAGGTCAGCAGAATAGAATAGACAATATGATTGTATGTACATTCCATGTATGTATCTGCTGTCATGTATGACTAAAAAATAAAAATAAGTTGTATGGTAAAAAAAATGTTTCTTAAGATATCAATGTATATTTTTCGATGGGAAATTTGAACTAATTAAACTTTCATTTCTTTTACTGTATTTGAAAATTTAGGGGATTCTTGCTGATAGAGAATGTCAGTTATGGAATTGAACCTTTGGAATCTTCAGCTGTATTTGAACATATGATTTACCAAATAAATAATGATCAAGTTGAATATCCCCCCTTAACAGAAGGTTACTCTAGGCCCCACTATATAGGTCAGCCTTACAGGATTCTTGTGAAAACAGACGTGAGTAACCCTTGTTATTATTATCTTTGTATATGTTATGTTTGTTAAAGTTGTTCACTTTGAAATTTTGAGATTTGATACATTACAATATTAAAAACTTTTATTTTGGGGTCTTTTTCATAAAATGTTTTTGTTTATTCAGATAGTTCTTAGAAAATACAACAGATAAAAACCTCAATGGCATGATTTTTATGCACAAACATATAAGGTTTCTTTTTACTGCATATGTACACTAATAGTATAATGATTTCAAAAGGTATATGTTATTACTCTGGAACCATTATCTTTGTCAATTCAAAGTCTTTGTTTAAAAGTAGGATGGAGACAAGATAATTACTAACAATTGTCTCAAACCTCAATATCAAAAGAGAGCACTGTTAGAATTTGGGGACATTTGTTCTGATTGTTTTCATTTTCTCAATTATGAATGTAGATTTTTGAGTGTATAGACTTTTAAAATAATATAATATTCTAAATTTCTTTGAAATTTTCATCTTGCTAGATGATAATACTTTACTTTATTGAATTGTTCCATTTATTATTTTAAAAATTAATATGGCTTAACTTATCTATCAATATAGTAAAGAAAAAATTAAATGGAAATATACCAAAGCATCATTTTTAGAGCTAAATTATGTTGCTTCATGCCCTGTTATCATTTTGATGAAAATTGTTTTTCTTTTTCTGACATAATTATATATGTTGAAATTTAAATTTATTCATTTTATAACACTGTATTATTTATTTTTAATACTTTTAAAACTTTTTTAAATTTATTTTTTAGGTGTAGATGGACACAACACAATGCCTTTATTTTTATGTGGTGCTGAGGATCGAACCTGGGTCCTGGCCATGCTAGGCGAGCGCTCTACCGCTGAGCCACAATCCCAGCCCAACACTGTATTATTTTGAAGTCTTATTTTTCTGTTTAAACAATAATTGACTTTTAAAATGTACAAAGTTTTTGAACAATCAAACTTCTTATAGATAATTACATTTAACAATATTATAACAATAACATATTTAAAAAATATTTTTGATGTACATCCTAACTTCTCTCTTTAGAATGATTTTATAACTTACATGTGGTTATCAGTGGAAAATAAATTATTTTCTTTCCACACATTGTCATCAACACTGCTTCACATTAAAGGAAATTCAAACAAAATAACAATAAATGAAGCTTGAATTTAATATATGACATAGTCCATCTCTTTGTTTCCTTACTTTGCTTTTATTTATTTTGGCAAAGGTATTAATAAAAGGACAGGTCAAGAAAATTGACCTTTGAGAAACCCACATACATTAGAATTAGCATAATTTTTAGTGAAACTGAAAAATGACGCCCAACTTCACGTTGGCCCTTTGGAAACACTCTTTGTGATGTGACATAAAATTGTACACAGTTGAAGGAAATATTCACCACTGAAACTGAGCCTTACACAGAAAGTAAATTGAAAAACTTTGAAGGATTCTATGAACACTTCTTCAGCAAGAGAAAAACATGAGAATTGATGTGTTAGGAAAGACAATTTAGAAACTGTTTGCAACCATCCTCCTCCAGTGAACCAGTAATAGAGAGGGACTGGAAGAGTCACAGATAACTTTCACCTCTATCTGCCTGAGTTTGAATTGCAAATCTGACATCACAAGAATGTGGAAAAATCACATAATTATGTAAAAAGTGTTTATATTTTATCATTTATTAAAAATATAATAACAAAAATTAATAATATTAACTAGTAATATGCAAGTCCTACAATGTTTAAACAAGTTTAACTGTGGAAATTATTTAGCATAGTATGTGGAGAATAAAAGCAAACAATGAATGTTAATACTATAACTATTACTATTTTCTTACCACATTTTTTGATGTAGTGGAGCCACATAATCAAGCAGTTATGAAAAGTTTGGTTAAGCAGTTATGAAAACTTATGAAAAGTTTCAAAGACAAAATGCAGCAATGAATTAAAACAGAAACAAATAGTTCCAAATTTCAGAAACTATTAAGAAGTCCCTGCATAGACGTCATTACAGGAGTAGAGATAACTGGGTATTGGTACATATTTGTGAATTTCATATCTTTCATGGGGAATCTCAATCATTGCTTTTCATTATCAATTTGATAGATTTAAATTTTAAATTTATATATATATATATATATATATATATATATATATATAAATTTAAATCTATATGTGCAAAACTGCTTTATAGGCACAAATAAGTGAATATCTACAAGATAAGATTTTTTTAAAAGAATGGAAAATAACATAAAATCTATTTAGACATGTTCTTACATATGTGAAAGGACATCAATAAACATGGAGTGTAAATTTCTTTCTTATAAATACAGTTGAAAACAGAACCAGCAGTCAAACGAAATATGATAAAGAGCTTTAAAACCTGAACACATCTGTTTATCCCTTCTCCTGCCTTAAATCCCAATAAAAAGGTATCAACATGCAGAGACAAGCAGTATAGGAGAAGAGTAACAGCAGTAGAACTTGAATAGAAGAGAGAGAACAGCTGATTTAGCCTCTCCCAAACTGATCTTATCCTAGAAATGAAGACAAGCTAGCAAATTCTAAACTAGAGGACAGTTATTTATATTGCAGAAACATACAACAAATTTCTGGGATTGTCTATTTAAATTCATTAGTTAGTGGATATGAAGGTATCTTCAGAGGGAATTTGGGCGAAAATTTAGAAAAGCCATCTTCTCCTAAGCAACTGCATTTTATAGACAGATGGAAAGCAAACCTTTGGGAGTGTTTGAGGTCATGATGCCAGACACAGATGTTCTGCTGTCTCTCACAATTAAGAGGAAAAAAAAAAACACTGAACCTACCATGGTTAAATTAAATGTGTGGCACATGGGGTAATGGGAACCAGGCTTTGATATTCTTCTAAGGAGTTATATTGGAAAATGATTCTAAGTAAGTAAAGAAAATACCTAGCCATATTGACAGCAGAGCTGTTTTTCTAAATCAAAGACAAAATAAAAAATAAATTACTCTCTATGAGGACTCCATCCCAAAAAACACTACAAAATCACAGAAGTTAGAATAAGCTATTACTGTTAGATTCTTAATATGGAAGAGACTCCAGTCACAGAATGATAACAGTGTAATATGGAAGACAGAAACATGACAAAAATATAGTTAAATTTTGAAGTAACAAAGAGTATAGAGGATGAGGACAAAAAATTACTATTAGTATCCTTTGAGAGATGTGAGAAAGTATTGATCCACCAAATCACAATCAGGAATTATTAAAAATAAAATTTAGCAGATTCACAAAAGTTATTGGAAACTTAATAAATGAAATAGAACCAAAGATCATTGGTTAATGGATTTTTCACAATGTTGCTAAGGATTTTCAAAGGCTAATCAATTCTTAAGAAATGGTGAGAAGAGAGTATTGGATGTCCATACAGAATGACATGAGTTCTGAACTTTATACAAAAATTGAATTCACTGTAGACTTAATGGCCAAAGCTAAATGAAATTTTTAGTAGGAAATTCAGTAGAAACCAAGTTAATGAACTGCAAATGTGTGAAAAGAGATATTCAACACTATCAAGCACCTGAGAAATTCACATCAAACCTCAAAGAGATATTAATACAGAACAGCAGGATTGGATAAAATGAGGAAGATAAAGTACCAAACCTAGAGAAGGATGTAGAAAAATTGGGACTATATAAATTCTTAGTGAGAAAGCATAATGATCAACTTACTTTGGAAAGTCACTTGTCTCTTTCATACAACTTTACATACCCACAATTACTGTATAAGTAATCCAAGTAACCATCATCAGTCTTGTGTCTAAATGAATTGTGATATACCTTTAAAATGACAACAAATCTGTTGAACTACTAATAATGCCAAGGATGAAAGGAACACTGACTGTCACAAGCCTGATTAAAAAGATTACATACCAAATGAGGCCACTTACATAAATTCTGGAATAGATTATTCTAACCTGTGGTGTGAGAAAGTTTATTTACATGGAAGAACATGATGGAAAGATTCTTTCTCTTAATTATGGCAATGGTTATGTGAGTGGATAACATTAGTTATATATCATAACCGTATCCATAAATGGATGTATTTTATTGATTGAAAACCTTAATAAAGTTAATAAAGTCAAAGTACAAAGAACAAGAAAATACAGATCATGTTTAGACAAGTGCTGATGGAAATTTATTTTGAAGATGGTGATGTGGGAGTGTTCTGCAAGGCACATGGGAATGCTTTGAGAGGAAGAAAACATAGATTGCCATCTCATTTCAGTGATTTTTTTTTTGAAGATTCTAAATGGCAAGAATATAAAGTGGAATGCTGTTGACTTGTATCTAAGATCTTTATTTGGATTCTTACCTTTTAAATGATCATCCATACTCTTAATTTCATATAACACATCTATATCCATGTATCTAATGTGTTTTGTATCTAATGTGTTTCTGTGAATGTACAGAATACACATATATACATGTTTATAGCATATGCTAATTACATGTAAGAATTTTTAAAATGTTTTATTTCACTCTTCTATTTCACAGAAAACTTCAGAGATAACATTGAAAACAACACTGAAAATACAAATCATAATAGATAAAGCAATGGTAGGTATTATTGATATATTTTATTAGATTTTGCTTTGTATTGGAATTCAGGGGAATATGAATAAGAAACTTTTGATTTTTTACAATAGGAATATATTTTATTCTGTTCAAAATATGTGCTTGCTTCAGCACATATTTTAGGGCATAAAGAAACATTGTACATTGCCTTTACACTGACATAAAGAGACCAGGTTTTATGTGTTGTCCTTCAAATCAGTATAGAATTATAGAAATAATGTAGCACTTTGTATGGAAGGGTTCTATTATACTATAGCCTACTGAGTTATAATTAGCTGTGGATTCTTCTAGGTGCACTCCAATATTTAATGAAATTCTTTCCTAAATCTCTTTCCATATAAGCTATTTGATTAAATGCTAAATTGGAGAAACTTTTTTAAAATAAAACTTTCTTAAAATATTACTTTGTTTAATAATTGGTTCTTTCTCAGAACTTCTATTTTAATTAAGTTTCTAATTGTTGTTTAAAGAAATTAAAAGAAATTTCATGTTTCTACTCTTACTCATAATTTTCAAAGTTTTCATTCCTTCTAATAGGTGTGCATGACTGACATTTCTTTTAGCCTCCTGAATTCTCTCCATTGTTTGTTCTTGTGAAATTATGTTACTTTCATCCTTTTTAAACATTTTATCTGGAAATAATTTCAAGCTTTCAGGAAATTTGTAGGGATATGAACATTATATAGAACACCATTATTCTCTTTGTTCCCATTGTTAATATTTAATGCCATGATCACTAGTGCTCTCTCCACTTGATTTTAAAATGTAAGTTGTAAAGCATATCATGAAGCATAACTCTGAAGTACTTTATTGGGTGCTTACTTTGCGTTTGAAGAGCATTGTGTCATATAATCACAACAGTGTTATTCCTTTCAATTAAAGTAGCATTGCTAAAATGCTTTGTGAAGTCCACTGTAATTTAATGTCATCGAATTAAGATAATACTATCTAAGAATGCTCTGAATTTGGTGTCAACATACCTTATATTCAATCAGAGATATGATAAATTGTGGTATAAAGGTGTATTAAGAATCGTATTGCAAATAATAATAATAATAATAGAGCTCATGTATAATAGCATAATTTGGAGTGAACATACTTTATATACAGAGTTACGAAAAATGGTGTTGTGAATGGATAATTATGATTGTAATGCATTCCACTACTGTCATGTATGTAAGAAATTAAAAAAAAGTTAAAAAAAATAAACAAGTAAAAAAAAAGTACTTTTTATGTCTTACTATAGGTCAGTTTATATAAGACAGTTATCTATAGCCTTTCATTGTTAACATAAGTTTGTACATAAATACATAAAAAACATACCATATATATTAATAATATTAATATATTATTAATAATTATATGTTATCAATATTACATGTAATACCAATATGTAATAGCCAGTGTTTGCATGAATGTTTCAAGTCTTACATAATTTTACTGTTAATTTATCTGCTCTATCAGTATTAAGAGAATCATATAAAAATATCTCATGACACATGTCAATTTCTATTTTTAATTCAGTTAAATATTCTTTTATGTATTTTGTGGTAATATTAGTTACAATCAAGTTTAGAATGTTTCCATCTCCCCGAGCTGAATATTTTATCAATAGGTTGTAATAATAATATGCATTTTTCTCCTTTATCTTTATCTTTATATTTATTAACATAATAATATAGTTTTCACATAACATGTGCTTTGTGCCTAGTATTTTCCTGGTACTAGAAGATATATTTTTACCTTTGACTCTTCATATTCCCAAAGTTCTCTTATATTTTAGAGTTCTTTATTTAAACTCCCATATATTCCATTTTTATTTTCTTTGCAATGGAGTGTGTTCTCTGTTACTTTTTGATTATTTATATATTTGAATTCATTTGCACAATCATACTCCATTTTGATTTTCATATGAGGCACGTTCACTCAAACCTCACATTCTTTCTTACGTACATGTATAATATAGTTCATTGTGGAAGGTTACCGGCTAAGACAGGAACACAGTGTGAAAAACATTTCTAGAGTTCTTTAAAGAAGGATGCCATTTCTTTTGTCTGTATTGTAAATGTACTTGTTTTAGTTATTTTTCATCACTGTGACCAAAATCCTCAGGAAAAATAATATAGAATTGGAAAAGTGTATTGGGGGCTGACAGTTTCAGAGGTCTCAGTCCATAGATGGACAACTCCACAGATTTTGGCCCAAGATAAGGCAGAACTTTGTGGTGGAAGGGCATGGCTGAGGAGTGCTGCTCCATTCACAGTGGCCAGGAAGCATAGAGAGAAAGGGGAAGGGACTGCGGGGAAGATGCACCCTTCCAGGGCACAGCCCTGGTGACCCATGGCCAACACTAGCACCCAGATAGTCGACTCATAAAGTATGAATTTGTAAGATTACAGCTCTCACAATTTAATCATGTACCTCTGAATATTCCTGTAGAAACACAGGAGCTTTGCAGCGGGGGGGGTGCACCTTGAATCCAAACCATAGCAGTACTCTGTGTACTACATTTTATTTTTGTTAGGAGACTTCAATCTTGTTGGGAATCACTGAGAACTCTAAGCTGCCTATTTTTAAATATGTTTCCATCAAACATTTAGAAATGTGTGTATGTACACAATTAGAAATAACATTTTCAGAGATAACATTATGATTTTTGTTACCTTAAAAGAAGATATGTTCTTGAAATTGTTCACTATGGCTTTGTGTTTAGAAAGTACATTGTTTATCCAGGATATATATTCAATTTGTTTAATCAGAATGAAGACAAATGATGGCAGTATATGATGGCAAATTAGATTTAGTTGTTTACTAAGTTTCAGATTTGATTCCTTTTTATAAATCTTTATTGGCTATGCATTCTTGGAACCTTAATACTCCAATCCTTAATATGTGTATCTGCAATGAGAAGATTATCACAGCTATCTTAATTTAATATTCTGAATTGTTCTTCAAAGTCTCTAGGCTTATGTCTAATGCACAGTAAGCTTTTGACAAAACTTAATTCTACTTCATTATTTTAACTTTATATTAATAATTAAGAAACAAAACTGTTTTTCAGTTTGAATATATGGACTCTGACATAGATGTGGCAGCTGAGAAAGTGATCCATATCATTGGTCTCATCAATACGGTAAGTACTTGTCCTTCACATTTAACTAAGAAAAAATTCATATTAATGCATTAGCATTGCTTTTTTTTAAGTGTACTCATGCCAACTTAGTTTCACTCAGGAGTGGATTTGTCTCACAAAACAGTAAATTGAATATATTTGCACTGTGTATCAAAATGGATCCATTCTCTCACGGGACATTTAGTGTATTTCTCTATGGTTAACCCAAATTGCACACCTGTATCTTCTCTTTACAGATGTTTTCCCAGCTTAAAATGACTGTTATGCTATCTTCTTTAGAGATCTGGTCAGATCAAAATAAGATTTCAACTAATGGGAGTGCTGATGAAGTATTACAAAGATTTTTGTCATGGAAACAAACATATTTGTCTTCAAGGTCCAATAATATGGCATACTTATTAATGTAAGTACTTCATTCATATTGATAGAGGGTTTTTCAATATTTTGATGAGTTGACTATCAAAAAAGTTTTATGCATAATGTTAAAACATTTTAAAATTTGGGATAGTACTGTGTTGGCAAAATTAGAACATGAAAATCTAATAACCATGTAAGACACAAATCTTATTAAGTTGTTGTTCCCATACTGGATCAGTAATTTATGGGAATTGAAGCTGTAACTTGGAAAGCATTAGGATAAACATGAGACCTCAACGACTGTAAAGATCCTCTAACAGGTAGTCCAAACTATCATTTTAACATAAAGTGTAAATTAGTTCATAGAGTATAATAGTTGCTTATAATGCTGGTGATAGTACCAAATATTTAAACAGTAAATAACTGAAATGGCCCTCTCCACTTTCCCTATGGTACAAGTAATTCTATACTGACCTAAGCTGTACCTATTTATCTGTGTCTTCCAAGAGTTTTTATGAAAACTTTTGTCTTATTTGAATATTATGAATGTAAAAATAAGAGTAAAGTTTTTAAAATGCTGAATAAATTATGAATCTTCTGATGCCTCCTGTAACTCTGAGGTCACATCTGGAGATACAGAAGTAGCATTAATAGACTAAAGTGTGAAGACACTTTGTACAAGCTATGTTCATTTTTCTGGGTACATCTCTTAGTTCTCTCTCCTCCTCACCTCCTCTAGTCCAATACTTTATTCATACTTTTAGGGTTTGTTTACTATGTGAAAATCACAATTCTTTATTTCAGATTTTAGAACACACCCAGTGTTGATAACAGTGAACTTTATTGTCATGGAAGGATTAGGTACTGCTAGGTTTTGTGCTGTGTACCAGATGATGTTAAACAGCTTTTCGAACTTAACTTCATATGAATGTGGGAGGAAACCCTCAGTAAATTATTGACAGTGTAAAATATAACATGTATATTATGATATTTATGTTTTAAAGAAAGCATAGCTTTAGTGAGGAATGCAGTTTGTCAAATGTCATTAGAAATATTTTGAAATGCATGGATTCATGAGCAAAACCTTTTTCACTTAGTTATAAGGACCATCCTAATTTTGTGGGAGCAACGTACCATGGAATGGCTTGTGATCCAAAGTTTTCTGCTGGAATCCTTCTGGTATGCATTTTGTTCTCATCTTTTCAGTAATAATATCAGGCTTAGAAAGTTCGTGCCCACTTCAATAAAAAAAAAGTATATGTAATCTACATTTACTCACATGTCTTTACGAGATTATATTTTTAGCCTTTGAAACTCAAATATTGTAATCATTGAAGTGTTTGCTACTGTGGTGAAAACTCATACAATTTGCAATTTTAACCATTTTAAGTGTACAGTTCAGGAGTGTTAAACATATTTACATTGTTGTCAAATCTCCAGAATTTCATCTTGCAAAACTGAAGGTCTGTATCAAATAAAAACTCCTCTTTTGTACCTGATAACAATCAATGAACCCAAGCACTAATTATAATGCTCTAATAAAAAAAGAAGGGGGACAATCTCATGAAAATAGAAGTGATATTAGTAAAGAAGAAGTAGTGGATCAAGGGGGAAGGAGAAAGGGAAGAAAAGAGGAAGAACTGATAAAAATCAGCCAAATTATGCTACATACATGTATGTATATACCACAATGAATCCCACTTTTATTTGTAATAACAATGTATCAATGAATAAAAGTATTTTATTATTTTTGATTCTTTCATAACTGGAATTATCAATTTCTTTTTGAATTATCATTAGTATATAGAAACATCATATTTTTATGTCCTGAATTTTTGCTCAATTTGTTTACTAAACAGTTTCTTTCTTGTGGACTCTTTAAACTTTCTAACTTGTAAAATCATGTAGACCACAAATAGAGACCATGTGCTCTAGGAATAAATCCCGGTTCATCACATTGCATTCTCCTTTTCTAGATTCCATCAAATTCTGTTTGCTGGTCTTTTGTTGGTGGTATTTTCATCAATATTTCAAGCAAATCTTGTTTATTTGAAATTCCTCCTGTTGCATTTTTATTCCTTGGTTAGTTTATGTCTGTTTTAAACTTTTACTTTCTCTTCCCTTTTTTCTGAGTTTCTTGAGGTATTAAGTTGGATTGTTTATTTTAGATCTCCTTTCTTTTTAGTGTATGCACTTCTGGCTATAAGCTATTTCTAAAGACTGTAAAAGTATCTTGAATTTTTCTTTTCATCTTCCTTTGTCTTAAGGTATATTCTAATTTCCTTTGAGTGTTCTTCTTTGACTTATTTGTTAAAAGCCGGTTTTAAAATTCCTACATGTTTATCAGTAATCAAGGTTTCCTTCTCTCCTTGATTTCTAGTTAGCTTCAGTTGAAATTAGAAAAGATACTCTGCATGACTTTATATTTAAAAAAATGTTTTTTAGCGGTCTATTCAGGAGAATGTTCTAAATATACTTGAGAATATTATGTATCTTAGTTGGCTGGGTAGAGTATTCTGTATACTGGTATACCAACTGGTATATCTTATTGTTCAATTTATATATTTAAGTATCAACTGCCTGGTTGTTCTGTCCCTTATCAAAAGTCAAGTACTGAAGTTTCCTATTCTTATTGTGTTGCTGTGAAGTTCTCCTTTCAATATTTTTCAGATATTCCTAATACTTTTAGGTATTCTGATATTTGGTGAATTTGCACTTTAATGTGAATGTAATACCCTTCTTTTTCTCTTGTAACAGTTTTGAACCATTTCTGTTATAACTACCCTTCTCTTACTTTGGTTATTATCTGCTGAAATAATTACTTTCCCTCCTTTCTTTTTCAGCCAATTTGTATTCTTAGATTTTCAAGTGATTCTTTCCAAGGCAGTGTATAGTTAGATCCTTCTTTTTTAAACCACTTCAATCATGTCTGTCTTGATTTGGGATTATAGTCCACTTAACATTTATAATAATTACTGATAAGGAAGAACTTATTGTTGATATTTTGTTTTCTCTGTTGATTATTTTATGTATATGTTACATATACACTGAATATCTTCTAGATGTTGTCCCTCCTTTCTCTCTCATTAACTTCTTTGTGTTTTATTGATATTTTATGATATGCTTTGATTCTCTGATATTTTCCTTGTGTATATATTTTATAGAATTTATTTTGATTACCATTGAAATTTCAGAAACTATCTTAACAATTTTAGTCTATTATAAGCTAATAAAACTTAATGTCAAATTACAATACACAAATTTTACTCTTTATAGATTTGTAGTCCACTTAATGTTATTTATGTCTCAAAATAGACATTTTTGTATTGAATACTCACTACATACAACTCCATTTTTTTTCTTAATTTTTGTTCTTTGAATTGTATGTAATCTATAAAAATAAGTTCAGGCATTGCAATCCCAGTGACTTGGGAGGCTGAGGTAAGATAATTGCAAGTTCAAGTCCAGCCTAAGCAACTTAGTGAGAGCCTGTCTGAAAATAAAAATAAAAGAATCTTGGGTATATGTCTCAGTGGTAAAGCATCTTTGGTTCAATCCCTGGTACCAAAAAAAAGTGAATTCACACACCAAAATTATGATAATTTTTCTTTGTGTTTATCTTTCTGAGACAACTCAATAATTTTCACAAGTCTTGATTTTTTCTTGATTTTTGCACTTTCTTTTTAACCTGAAGAAATCCTTTAGAATTCTTGTAGATTAGGTTTATTGACAATGTACTTTTGTGACAACGTACTTTTGTATTTCTGAAAAAAATATTTTTCATCATTTACATATGACACTTTTGTTTTCACAAATATATTTTTGGTTGAGTTTCTTTCATTTAGTACTTTTACTGTATCTCTCAACCCCTACTGGCCTACAAGTCTTCTCCAGCAAAATTCACCAATAACATTATGAGAGTCACTATTGTATTGATGCATTCAAGATTTGTCCATGGCTTTGGACTTATGACCATTTGATTATACTATACCTCCTTGAGGTTCTCATGAAATTAGTCCTACTTGGATTTATTAACTTTCTTGATTCCAGTTTTATTAGTTACCAAATTTTCTGTCCGTTATTCCCTCATACCTGCTCTTTGTCTCTTTTTTATTAACTTTCTTGATTCCAGTTTTCTTAGTTAACAAATTTTTTGTCCATTATTCCCTCATACTTGCTCTTTGTCTCTTTCTATCTTCTCCTTGTAAGACATATATTCCTCTGCTTGATAGTAAGTCATAGGACTAGGAACTTTTAGATTTATTTCACTGTTTTCTTTTTTTCATTTTGTGCTTCTGGCATGATGATTTCATTTTCACTCATTCTTATGTCTAATCAATTGTGCTTTTGAACTGCTCTAGTAAATATTTCAGTTCATTTGTTGTAATGTTTGACTCTACAATTGTCAGTTGATTTTTCTTTTTTTTAGTTTCTATAGCCTTGTCTATCTATCTATATATCTATATACATATATATATATATATATAGAGAGAGAGAGAGAGAGAGAGAGAGAGAAAATTTTTACAGATATTAATGCTGGTTCCTCAGTAAAAAGACAATTAGCTTAATTACTCATTTTAATAGGCTAAGTAAGAAAGCAAATCAAACAAATCAAAATCCAACAGTTAATTTCATGCTTATGTTGAGAAAATAATGCTTTACTCCTAAGATCAGGAACAAGGCAATAAAGTAGCCCACCACTCCTACTCAACATCATATTGGAATCCTTCCGGATTATTATTCATGGTTTAAGAAAATGAGTCATTAAACCATGAAAGACATAAATTAATTTTAACAGTACTTTAAAAAGGAGCAAAAAATTAATGGGCTATATATATTTATAATATTTATAAAACCTCTATAACATAGTATAATAGAAAAAAAACATTGAGACAGTAAAAAGATCACTCATTGCTAGGGCTTTAAAGGAATACCATTTGAAAAATATTATGTTCTTCTGCTTTTAGAAAAAAAATAATATAAATATTTTCTCAAACTATTTCTAAAATCATATTTGATTATCCATTTAACTCTTCATAATCTGAAGTTTTTACAATGTTGTTTTCATAAATACAGTACTTAAATCATTCTTAACAAAATGTTTTTTGATGTTTTAAATCTTATATTATTATGATGTTCATCTTATTTTAATATATTTTTCTGCCATTTGGGCTAAAATATTTTTACACCAAAAGAATATCAAAATTTACCAAAGTCTTTCATGTTCTATATTACTAAGAAAATAGCTTTAGTAGAGTAGTTTCTCAAATTTGATTTTACATTCATGGCAATGGCACAAAAAGTTGACAAATCTAAGTGGTAGAGAAAAACTGAAGCGATTATTTCTGCTCTTGTTGTCTATTTAGCACCCCAGGACAATATCCTTAGAGGCATTTTCAGTTGTTCTGGCACAGCTAATTGGAATTAACCTGGGATTAGCTTATGATGACCTCTACAATTGTTACTGTCCAGAAAGTACATGCATAATGAATCCTGGAGCAATGTAAGATGTTTTTGATATCAAATTTATATCAACTTTTGGGAAGTAATTGTAGTATTCCTCAATATGTAATTTCTCACAATACAATGAATAAGAATGTTTTTATTAAATATATACATGCTTATTTAAAATATATGAAAGAGAGTGAGTACAGGACTTTATAGAAAATGTGATAAATAGTTCCTTATTCAATGACTGTATAGAGATGAAGTAGATATTAATGAGGTCATTCTGGGTTTTGTAATTATTGATATACTTTTCAAAGTGAGCAAATATAATAATACTTTAACATTCACAAGCTTGACTGTAAACAGAACTAGAATAACGATGCTTGGTGAGGTGTTGGAACAGGTTAAACAGAAATAAAGAAAGCAGAAATGGTTGGGAATATAATGAAGGGTGTTTTAGGCAGAGGGAAAAGAAAGTGATATAGGAAGCCAAAGAATCATGAGTCAAGGAATGAAGCCCAGGAAATTAGATAGGAAATGTAGGAAAGCAGTTGAAAATGGAATCATGAAGAAAGAGAGAGATGGGCTTTTATAATAAATGTAACAAAACACAATTTAATCAATTTATTCTGTATAGATAATAAAAATTATCCTGTAAAATATATCAGAGGGAGCGAAAATAAGGTAGCATGTGGGAGATGATGATTCTTATAACAATCCACAGAAATGTACCAAGATTGAGTGGAAGGGAGATTTTAAGAATTATTCATAAGTGCTGAATACTATAATTATTAATAAATATTGAGCAAAGGGCAATGCTTTAAGAAAGAAGAAAATGGGGAGAATTTTTAGGGCTGTTTCTGTTTGTTAATTCTGAGTTATTCTGAATCATCCATTGAAATTGTCTAACACAAGGTTTTATAGGTCTGGATATTGGAGGATAGGAGTTCTAAAGTACAAATCATCGGTAGATGGAAGAGAATTAAAATCATGAACTCATAATTTTGAAAGAAGTTGTAGAGTGAAATGAGGTATCATAAGATAAAGTTTTCAGTCATTCTCATGTATACAGGTACCTGAGGGAAAAGCAATAACATGAGATGGTTGAAAACATTTTAGGACAAGAACCCAAATAGGATGGAGTGTTACACAGGGAGGAATGTGTTCTTGAACCCCAATGCTAAAAGTATCAACTAGGCCTGTTAGTCACCCAAAGGCCTTCTTTAAAATAGAAAATTAGGACAAATACAAAAGCAAGTACTACAAGATTCCCTCACTGGAATGCAACAAAACTACTATGTAGGACTAACCCATTGGTAAAATAATATCTGCATGAAGTAAGTAGCTGTGTGGGAGAGAGTAGAAGGAACATAGCGGGCCCTCTAAAATCTTACAGATCTGGAAACTCAGAATTGTTGGCTAATCCACATCCCAAAACGTTATTGCCCCTGCTGGCATCGAAATGAAATATCACTATGTTCATGGCCACACAGGGACAAAATGAGTTGTGAACATTTCTTAATATGCAGGCATGTTCTAAGTATCGAATAACAATACAAGTATGTATCACCCATTCATGGTTTTAAAATGCTCTTCTCTACCAAAAGGAGAATATCAGAGAAATGGTTGATTTCAAGGCTAAGGCAGAGAAAATAAAAATAAACTTGTGATATGCTGCATCTGAAAATAAGGACAGACCCAAATATTTGTGGAAATGCATTCTGTAATAAAATCAACAGATCAAAATGACTTTTATCACTAGTAGAGCTAATTGAAACCGTGTGCCACTGTTTATTTGACAATGAAACAAACACTGCAACTCTCACATAGTAATGTGGCCAAGATGAATAATTTAAATCTACTCACAAGGATATATTTCATAAACCTAAATTGCTAGACATTGGTTAAAATAATTAACCTTTAATTATAAACCTTTTCAACGTCACAAATACTAACAAAGCATATGCAACTAAACTAAGAAAATGTGAGTGCTAAACACAGTGCTTCCTTGTAAACTGGGTCCTAATGTTATTGATATGTGGAGATATTTGAGTGGATGCACAGGATTAGGTATTAATAATTATCTTTATTTCCTGATTTTGAAGGTCCTGGTGTTGTTACAAAGAATTCAATTGTATGAAAGAATTATATATTAAAGTTCTTAGAATTATCAGGACTCAGTGCTGGTATCTATTAATGTTTCAGCAAGCAAAATCTGTTTTGGACTACATTTGCATCATTGCTATTTGCATCATTGCTCAATGTTTGAGCTTGCCATAAAAATTAAACAAAAAGATCACTAAACAGTACATGTAAATACATAGAAATACTGTTGCTGGGCTTGGTGACCTGGGCCTATAGTCTCAGCACTTTGAAAACTGAGACAGGAGAATCCCTTGAGGCCAGGAGTTGGAGACCAATCTGGGTAGCATAGTGAGACCCTGTTTTTCTCCAAAAATGAATAGAGGGATTGTACATTACATATTCCTCAGTGTTGAAAAACTATGTTTAATACTGTTACTATAAAACAACTAGCCATGATTTTTCTATAACTTGACAAATCATCCTTTAATCCTCTTAAAATTTCAGCCTAAGTTCCTGGGTTTGTTCCATATTCTTAATGGCCATTTGAAATTCTTGTAATAGAAATGATGCTGAAAACATAGAATATATACTCTTAATAGAATTTACGTGCAAATCATTTTGAGTGTTTTGTCACTTTAACTTCCTCTATTTTCTGTATGTCTATTATAAAGAATTACAAAGGAAGTAAAATTATTGCTTTTGTTTATGACCTGTGTTAAGAAATAAAGATGATCTCCTCTCCTTTGGCTCTTTACCAGAACTCATAACACTTTTTTGAAGAATGTTACCTTGATATTTATTGACTTTATTCTATTTATCTGAGGAATATAATTTAATTTTAGACAGTCCCAAGGTGTAAAGGTTTTTAGCCGTTGCAGTACAGACGTATTTCAGCAGATAATTTCACAACCTCAATTTGGATGTCTAAGGAAAAAAAAACTTCTTTCACAATTGACTGCCAAACAAAGCCCACCTGCTTGTGGAAATGGAGTTGTGGAAATAGGAGAGGATTGTGATTGCGGCAAGCCAGAGGTCAGTGATAAACTTTCATAACATAGCCTAATATTTGTTCTTGTGTACCTTATGTAGCCTTGTAGATAAAGAAGACTTGCTTCTTTAAGTTATGGTACCATTTTAGTTTTGATAGGGAGATATGTGACATGCAATGACTGACATATTCTGAATTGGATGCATTTGATGAACTTAAAAAAAACTTATCTACAGATCAGCATAGCATGGATAAAACAGATTTTTTTTTTTCTATTTTACAACCAATAGTTGCATCAGTTTTCTGTACTGGCATCAGTAATCTAATGTAATCATCACTTAAATCATATCCACATTCCTCCAAATTGACTACATTTATTTTGTTATTCATCTCCTGATCTCCCAATTCCAGTCATTGACTTTGTGAAAATTCTTTATTTTTACTTGGTTTTCCAGAATTCAATTATTTCCATTGGATTATTTGACTTTGCCACCTAATAATGCATTATGTGAATAATATAGGATTACAGACTTCCTGTTTTCAAGTATTTAGTGAGTTTTGTAGATTTTTTTCTGATACTAATTAGGTTTTTAAATTTTTTTTTCTATACGTCTTGAAATTAATTCTTGTTGTACTTAAGCGTCTCAAGTCTACATATCTAGATATGGAAGTTTTGGGTTATCAGGTAGGTGAATAATGACTGGGAAAAGGCAAATTTATTTCAAATGTGGCATGCTAATTTATACTTTCAATGGCTGTTTACACTAGGACCCATACAATTTTTTTAATAGTGAATCAACACTTGCAATTGCCAGACAATTTTATGTTTAAAAAATATTTCAAGGGCTTGGGTTGTGGCTCAGTGGTAAGTGCTTGCCTAGCATGTGTTAGGCACTGAGTTTGACTCTCAGCACTGCATAACTAAAAAAAAAATTTTAAAAAATATTTCAATGTGGTTTAAATAGAACTTTTCTTAGTAATAGTAAAATTGATTATAAACTTACTAGCCATGTAAGTTTTCTTTGCTGTGAAGTGTCTACTTTTTGTACTTTGGTTTAGATGCACTTGATTTCTACACTGCAAACCACTAATCTTTTCTTTATGAGAACTAGTGGATTTTTATTTAAATAATTTAAATGTTCAAGTATTTTTCTTGACTTAAAATTCCATGTGATTCCTTTAAAAAAAATCTTACTTTACTGGAAGAAAAATGTTACACAAATTAAATGTAGCAGAGTTGTAGGCAAAAAATCAACTCACAAATCAGGGAGCCCCCTGAGCTAAGAGAGGCTCAGAAATGTCTACTTAATAATAGGGCCAGGCAGTTTTTACCGACAGAAAACGGATGTAGTGTACAGAAACAGCTTGATTGGTGATAGCTCAGCATTTGTTTTATTTGGACATGGTGTGATTATGCATTTGTCTTATATTTACATGGTCTGATCAGTTGCCAGCCTGTGATTGGCTGAAGCTCCACTGATGCTGACACTCAGCTATTATAAACTAAGTAGGGACTCAGCAGTTTAGGCCAAATTTAATTTAAATTAATAATTCCCCCTTTAAAGTCAGCCTTTCAATTGGAAAGATTGATCAAAAGCTGTTGTCATCATAATGGGTTTGTTTGATTTCAGTATGGAATTAACAATTTTGAATATGAAATCAGCTGAATATTTCTTTTGGGACAATTTTTTTTTCTGTATCCTACCATACAGAGATCATTTGATTGGTAGTGTACAGTTGCCTATGAGCATATTATATCCTTAAGGGGGATGCAAAATAGCAAGAAGATGTTATGTTGACTATCATGAAGATAGCACTAAGAGACTAGATGTTTACTCTTTACCAGGAGCATCCAAAACCAGACCTTTCAAAACAAAATGTTCAAAAAATAAGACAGAAGAGGAACCTTGTTTATGGATTTCTTGCTACTAAGCTTCTGTTATACCAAATATATTTATTCAAATGAAATAGGAGGTATTAGATAATATATACTCCTTCCTGTGGAGCTGACAGTCCAATGCAATCATATCATCTCAAACAAATTTAACAAGAGAAATTAAAGAACTTAGCTCTGCAAATGTACTCTTTGCAATGGAGACAGTTCTACTACTAATTTTGACATGAATCTCTAATCATAGCCTCGTTTAGATTGATATCAATTAAGGTAAGGAGTATTCTACAAAATGATGCTCACTTCTTAGAGATGTGCCTCTACTGGCAAATTCCTATTTATTTTTTAGTCTAGACCAATGTTCATTTCTAGTTGCTTACCAAATAGCAATAATTCTGTTAGAAACTGTAATCAATTTTGACCCCTTATTTACATTTGTTGCTACATGAAGTTGCTAAGGCATAGAGTTGATCATAAAATTCTCTAAAGATGAAACTATATCCTCTAAGAACAAAAGGTTGGTCCCTGTGGGATGCCCTTGTCTTAGGGATTAAGAGTAGGAAAGCACAGGTAATATTTGCTTATGGATCCATTATTGAATCATTGCATAATTAGAAACTACTTAAGTGAAGGGATTAGAGTCATAAATTTTCCTGCAAACCATTGTTCCTTTTGGGTTTCTTACTCAATTTATGACATAATTTAACTGCAAATCCCTCAAACATGTCTTGTCTATTATCATATTAGGCAACCTGACAATTTGTAGTTAATCTAAAAATCTGGCACTGTAGGAAGGGACCTGATGATGGACTTGGAACATCATTGAAATTTGTTACACACATTCTAATATTCAGCTGTTTCTTGTGGAGAGGATCCATTAACAAATCTTACTTATTGCATTATTTTGACATATATAAACTGGAAGGAAATATGGGGAAAAGAGGACAAGGGAAGAGAGAAGTCTGGACCTGTCATCTCTGGAAAGCTTTCCATGTCTAGGATTCTATGTGCTTCTGAAGAGAAACATCCATGGTCAGTTTTACTTTGAGGTCTACAATGAGTGTACAATAGGGGCCCTCTTGAATTGAGTGAGATAGCTACAAGACTGGTGGCTGTGAAATGTTGATGCAGAGAAGAATCGAGTGTGGTCCTTTCCAATGGAGTTCATGGGTAGTTCTTATGTCATTTTGAAAGACCTAATCTCCCAAGTTCTAGATCATGAAGTGTGTGGTTTTCAACAGTTGTTTGGTGACAAAGGGCATCTTTTACCTGGTGAAAATATGCTTAAGGAATGACGCGGTTGAAATCATATCCTTGCAATCAGCAGTCCTGTTAGAGTCCTGTTAAGAGTAGGAGGAGACACATGAAGTCCTATTATTAGGCACATAAGCCTTCCCTTAACTTTTTTTTTTTTTGTACCAGGGAATGAACTCAAGGGCACTCCACCACTGAGCCAACAGTCTTATTTTGCATTTTAAGGTCTCACTGAGTTGCTTAGTACCTCGCTTTTTCCAAGGCTAGCTTTGAACTCACGATCCTCCTACCTACTAGAATTATAGGCTTTTGCCACCATGCCCGACCATAACTATTTTCATAGGGGTCAGTCTGTGTTTTCTATGGGAGACAGATCTGATTGCCTTTCAGGCTAACAATAATATCTTTGGCTAGGACAACTCAGTCAATTCAGTTAGCTTTGCATTGGTAGTGTTGTGTTTGTAGTACTTAGTTGACTCCTTTACAACATGTCCAATGAAACAAATATCTTTAGCAATGGAGACTTCTCCAGGAATTTCCCAGAAATGAAACATATTTTCTAATAAAGTTTTTGTTACTCTTATATCATCAGCCTTCCTGTGAGGGAAAGTTTCTATCAAAGCAGAAGACAAACACTGAAGTTGGTAATTGAGTGTAATCCATCTGTACATATTCAAATGACCCCACAGGTATAGGAAATGCATCACCTGTACTGTCTTACTGGGGTGTTATGAGTTTTATATATCAAATATCAGTCACTCTACCAGTATTATTTTTATAATTTGGATGATTTTATTTACTCTATGATGAATCATAGATAGCAGTTTCAGAGTATTTTTTCCATATTGATACCTAGCCTCATTTGCTGGAAAGACTATTCCTTTTCATATTGGTTTAGTTTGGCATATTTATTGAGAAGTAATTAATCATATTTCATTCATATTTTTACAATCGCACTTCCTGAGAGTAGAAGACAACAATGGGGCTTACCAGGGTTGGTCAGGAAGAAGAAAGAGTTAGGAGGAAAGGATGGGCACAGGGCTTATTGGGTTTTTCATGGAGAAGGCAAGGCAGGGAAGGAAGGGTACATGATTTAGGACTAGCTAGCTTGAATAGTAATGCTGGTGTTCTCTGACCTACAGAGTTGGTACCTAGTTGTCAGTGTCTGTCTCCAGTGTTGTTATGAATTGGAAATATTGGCTTGCTGCATAAGAGTTAGATAAAAGTAGTGATTGGTGTTATGGGTTATGGACCGGTTGATTTGCATGTGAAAGGCTTTCTTACAGGCAAATTGTTCACTATCTGAAGGAATTTCAATTAGCTATTCCTTGGAGGGACCATTTCTCCACACCAGCAAGGCCCCTAAGATGTAAAAGCATAAATAAATACAGATAATAGAAAATATGATTAATATACATGCATGGATATTAGTATGCAAATAAATTAAAAATAAGGAAAATTCTAAATTCAGCTTATAAGTCACACTGGTTATCTTTCAGGGGCTCAACAGTCTCATGTGATGAGTAGCTAGTGAAATTGATAGCACAGAGAAAACTACCCTCATAGAATTAAATTCAAGACACACTTTAGTAAGCAGTTATGTGTCACTTAACAATGGGATGATTTATGCATCATTAGGTCATTTTTTTTTTGTTTTGTATGTTAGACAAACCTAGATAGTATATCCTACTATTTACCTAGGGTATGTGGTATAAACTATTTCTCATAGGCTAAAACTGTACTTAATATTACAGATGTTTTAATTCAATGGTACACATTTGTGTATCAAATTTATATACAAACATAGGAAAGGTTCCGTAAAATTATGTCATAATAGAGCACTCTGAGTTAAGGCACTTATCATGAATGGAGTTTGCAAGACTGGAAGTTGTTCTGGGTGAGTTGGGGAAGTGAGTGGTGAGTGAAGGCGAAGGCCTAGGACACTACACTACACTACTGTAGATTTTATAAACACTACACTTAGTATGTACTGACTTATTAAAACTACTTTTCTGTTGTCTATATAAAATGAACCTTAACTTACTATAATACTTTTACTTTATAAATGTTCAACTTTTTAAAATTCTTTGACTCTTTAATAACAGCTTTAAAAACAAGGAAATTTTAAGCTCTCCAAAATACTTTCTTTCTGTCCTTTTTCATTTATCTTTTATTTTATTTAAGTTCTTCCATTGTAACTGTAACTATATTTTGATCAAAAACTAAGAAACACCCACATTGACTAGCCTCAGCCTGTACAGGGTCAGGATTATCAATAACACTGTCTTTCTTTAGGGGCAATAAGTTGTTTGAAGCAAGTTATTCATAATAATACCATCTTCTGAAAATTTCCTGAAATATCTGAGACTGTTTTATAGTTAAATTTTCTTTTATTAGAAGGAGAACACTCTAAAATAATGATAAAAATTATAGCATAGCAAATATACAAACCAGAAACATGGCTATTTATTATTTTTGTGAAGTGTTACATACTGTACATAACTGTGTGTGTGATAACTTTATGTGATTGGCTTGCTTATACAGAATTGTCACTTATGCCAGAATTGTTACAAAGTAATGTGTTGCACGATTAAGTTATAATGGTTATGTTACTAGGCGAAATGAATCTTATCTCCACCCATTTAAAGGACTACTACTTTTTTTAAATTTTATTTTTACTTGTAGGTGAACACAAGAATCTTTATTTTTAGGTGGTGCTGAGGATAGAACCCAGTACTTCACATGTGCTAGGCGCGTGCTGTATTGCTGGGCCATAACCCCAGTCCAGGACCACATGTTTTATATGGTCTGGCCTTGACAGAGTGTAGGATTATATTATTACAAAGCTGTTTCTAGATTACTGAGAATTTATTATGTAGCATATGATCATGATGAACGTAAACAGAATTGCATAATAATCAAGAATCTCCGTGCTTTGTGTTTAATTATAGGTATGCAAATATACAAAGTGCTGTAATGCCAAAAGTTGTACTTTCACTAAACCTAATTTGGAATGTGGCAGTGGACCATGCTGTAATCCAAGCTCTTGTACTGTAAGGTTTCAAATATTTCATTATCTTCCTTCATGATTTTTTTGTGTTCTTATGTATCCCTTCCCTTTTATAGCTTCTTTGAATTACATCTTTCAAGTAATTTATATTCTATCCTGTGAGCTCTTTTTGGATCAAGTTATTACTCACATATAAATAATGATTTTGCATCCTTAGAATGTGTTTGTACAGGACACATTTTATTCCACTGAGGAGTAGATAGTAAAGATATTTTATGTTGTTTTTGTCATTTTGTTTGTTTCAAGTTAATTAGTGACTCCTGTTGGTAACCAAGAGAAACCCAATCATACATGATTAATTTACAGACTGACAGGATGCCCTTAAGGCTCAACTTTCTTAACTGCAGTTTTTACTGAGCCCATATGGAAGTCCCATTCAGTTCACATACAATACTAATTCTATATTATTTGGGTGTTGTGACTTTCTTTGGGTCATGCCTGAATATAACTCTTCATGACTAAATGATTGATGTCACATTTTGAATAAACCATCTTAACCACACACAGTTGACATGCAGTGTTTCAAGAAACAGGCAACAATAATAACAACTCTTATTTTGAAAAAAAAAATTGCAGAAAAAGAATCAGTGCAGAAAAGTCAGCAGTATGTACTATATGAAATACTGAAGTAGCTTTGGTAAAGTTTTCTTTTCCACTCTGTGGACTAGTGAGTAAAGCCAATAGCTATTTATTTATAAGGTGCATGAATGCCAAAGACAGACCTAAGGTTTCTACTTTTTAGACCCTGCTGCTTTTCCATTCACCAGAGCCCTTGGATTGGCTTTTGTCTTCTGAGAAGTCTATTGCTATCTGCCTACATCCTAAAGGAATGGAGATAATTGCTCCTTTTGGTAAATGAAAATTCACAGCCCAAATTGCTAGGCAGGGCCTCAGTAACAATAACTGAGTGCATCAGATGTGTTCATATTTATTTTTTGTACATTATAAAATTTGACTTTTGCTGCCATTCAAAAGCTCACATGTGTTTTATACTCTTTCATTAGTGAAGAAGGCTTCATATTTTGTCTTCTTTCAAAAAGCAGTGTCTTTTTTTTAAGATGGACACAATATGTTTATTTTATTTATTTTTATGTAGTGCTGAGGATTGAACCCAGTGCCTTACAACGTGCTAGGCAATTGCTCTACCACTGAGCCACAACCCCAGCCTCCCAGTGTCTTCTTTTCAAAATAGATTCTTTTTAGTTATACACAACAGTAGGATTCATTACTACCAATGAGATTCGATCCAATTTTTTTCTTATAAATTTTCAACTTAGACACAACTTCATACAAATACAAAAAAGAAAATAGTCGAACCAACTGATTGCTAACAATAATGAGGAGTGAATATCTGATCAGAACTTCAGTTACTATAGGTAATTAAAATTAAGTAGTATCACATTAGAATAATTATTATTGGTCAGTTTAATCTTGACAATGAATAGTCAAAGAAAAACAAATATTTCAGAAGCTTAAGTAGAATTTGTATAAGTGTATGCTCAGATGAGTCTTTCTTCAAACATTAACAAGAATTTTACTCTCTGTTTTGGATATCTTTGCTTTTCTGCTAGCAAATCTCAAAGAAGCCTTCCCCAAATATGTGGTATGGTTAGGTTATCACTTCTTACTGTTTTATTTCATACAGTCTAATATTTCAAAAAAGTATAGAGATTCTGTCTTTCGCAACATCCACAACAATTCTTACTTTTAAAAGGAAATCCCGATTGAGCCTGACAAATATTTGTCTTTTTCTTTGTCTCAAAGCTGTACGAAAGAGGACATTTGTGTAGGAGAAGTAGAGATGACTGCGATTTTGCGGAATTTTGCAATGGAACATCTGAGTTTTGTATGCCTGATGTGAAAGCTGCTAACTTAGAGCCATGTCATAATTATACTGCTTATTGTCTTTATGGGCTTTGCCAAGATCCGAGCAGACAGTGTAAGGACATATTTGGAAGATGTAATTATCATCTTTTTTTTCTGGTTTTCATTTTTAAAATGCAGTTAAGTTAAAGTCAGTAATCCATCCTATGGCCATATTAGAAAATGTTGTTTTACATTTACATAGGAAAGTAAACTTGTAAACCATCGTAACTTTGATCTATGCCAAAGGTAGAATTGGCTTACTAACTATAGAACAGATATTTATCAAGTTTCAAGTGATTGGAGGAATAGGAGTAGACTATTAGAATATGACTTCAAAGAGAAAAATGACTGGTTTCTTAATAATATATGGACTGTATTAAAGATTTTCACATTCGGGACAATATGTAGTTATTGTTTGGTTTCCTTGTATTACACAGTAAAAGGAATCAATATTTCATAGTAGATGGGTGGGCATTGTTGTCTACGTGTCTCTTTATTGACTGCAAGCACTTGCAACAATTTTAATGAGTTTTTAAATCTGAGTAATTGAAAATTCATATTTTTTTCAGATGCCTTAAATGCTCCTTATATATGTATTGAAGAAGTAAATTTTCAAAACGATAAATTTGGAAACTGTGGAAAAAGTTGTAATTTTGGGTAAGCACTTAGGAAATCATACATTTTCCATGTATATATACTGTGTATATACAGCAAAGTGTCATGTGATAGAAATGAGAGATGAATGTACACTTTGTTCTGCTTCATAAGATGGTTTAGTTTTGGTGTTATGATCTGTATAATTCTTTGAGTTATCTTCTATTTTGAATTGTTATTTTCCAAGTATATTAGAAAACTAACTTACAGACAGGTAACTTTTATGTTTCATATTGCCAGGTTTATCCTTTGTGGAAAAGTAGTTTGTAGCTATGGACATACAGAAGTAGCAGATATGAAAGATTATGATTTTCAGTATACGTACCTTGCAGGCCATGTATGTGTGTCTGCACATTTAAGAAATACTTCAAGACCTGATGATACGTATGCACATACTGCCAATCCTTGTGATGAAGATAGGGTAAATACAATTTTACTTGATATTACTTATGGTGTAATTGTTTGTGAATGTGTGAATTTGTGTTCATAAGTGCAGGTGTGTATGAATATTTGTGACAGAGCTTATTATTTTAAATTTATAATCAATGCTAATACTTTTGGATACTGCATCATATCCCTTTAGTGAAAAGATCAAAATTTGTTTGTTAGAGGAAACTTTTGGTTCATTTTAACTGAAATTTTTCAATAGATATTTGAACTTGATTTCTCACACTACTGAATATAAGCCCCCATTCTCAAGCTAAGATGTGATCTGCAGTAATTATGTAATTGACAAACAAAAAGAATGAAATGATACACACAAAGATGGCACAACAAAAATGCCACAAAAATGACAGCTTCTCAGAACAACCTGAATTATGAGAACATTAAAGAGAAATTTAAAAGGTTAAGTATTTCCTCTGGTAGTGATTGTCAAGGAGAATTAATTTGGTTACAAGTAAAGTAAAATATTTATGTTGCTTATTAACCTATACTCCTAAAATTTCCTCTAAAACATAATATTTCTGTTAAAAAGTCTTTCCTCCATAAAATACAATAATAAAAAATTGAATTTTAAGTTATACTTTTCTTTTTTATGTAAATTTTTTAAAATTATATATGACAGAAGAATGCACTGCATTTCTTATTACATATATAGATCACAATCTTTCATAACTCTGGTTGTATACATACATAGTATATTCACACCAATTCGTGTCTTCATACACGTACTTTGGATAGTAATGATCAGCACATTCCACCATTAATTACCCCATACCCCCTTCCTTCCTCTTCAACCTCTCTGCCCTATCTAGAGTTCAGTCTGTTTCTCCTATGCTCCCCCTCCTTACCCTACTATGAATCAGCCTCCTTATATTAGAGAAAACATTCAGCATTTGGTTTTTTGGGATTGGCTAACTTCACTGAGCATTATCTTCTCTAACTCCATCCATTTACCTGAAAATGTCATGATTTTATTCTCTTTTATTGCTGAGTAATATTTCATTGTGTATATATGCCACTTTGTTTTTATCCATTCATCCACTGAAGGATCTAGGTTGGTTCCACAGGTTAGCTATTGTGAATTGTGCTGCTATAAACATTGATGAGGCCACTTTTAAGTCAGCAGGACAAACCAAATCAGGAGGCTATATAAGTGTAATCAATCAAATACAATAATTCCCTTCCTTCCTGGTTCATCGGATCAATGCTTCCCTCCTGTGTGTAAACACATTTTCTAAACCACTACTGGTTTGGAGATGCCGAATTCATAATTGACAGCTCAAATAAATTTTTAACATTTGGTGCTTTGATTTATATTTTAAACAAAGACAATTTTCATACACGTGAGGCACTGGGTTTGATCTTCAGCAAGGCATTAAAAAAAAGCAAATGGATAAAATAAAGATATCGTGTCTATCTACAATTAAAAATATTTTTAAAAAATATTCTGTCAGATAACATGAGGAAAGCCAGACATCATCTTAGAACATGCCTCAAAAGACTAAGTTTTAGTAGAAGAATATTGATATGTTAGGTAGAATATACATTGTAAAATTTGTGGTTAATGAACATTTACCATATGCCAAATGGCATTTGTTCATTTGTGTGCAGCAAGTTTTTTCACTCTTATGATATGTGAGATGTTTAATAGTATCCCATATGCAAAGATGAATAATTGATGTCTGGAGAAATTCAGTAACTTTCTCCAGGCCACTCTGCTAATATGAAAGATATAATTATAAGTGGAGAAAAAGCAAACATGATGGGAATACTGCTTTTAGCATCAATGCTAAACAATGCCTTAGGTTCTGTGAGTTAAGAAGTTCTTGCACTGAGAAATAGTTCTTTCATAGCCTATGGCTTGAACTTCAGTGTGTAAATTTTATTCTCTCTCTCTCTCTTTTTTTTTTTTTTTGGTGGTACTGGGGTTTGAATACAAGGCCTTGTGCATGCTAATCAAGTACTCTACCAACTGAGCTGTATCCCCAGCCCCATAAATTTTATTCTCTTCAAATATTAAATGAAAGTAAAAATGCTCCTCAAGGGTTTTATGAGCATAGAAAAGAAAAATGCATTAGGTGCAAAGGCAGTTCCTAGTCAAAATATTTAGTAAAAGCTTGTTTTGTTTGTTCTTATATCAATTCATAATAATTAATGTACAGCTCTGCTCCATCAAGGGAAAAATGATATGTTTTTGCAAATTAATACTTCATAAAGGAATAACACACTATGTTGATATTGACTCCAAGATTGTTTTGAAGCATGAACTATTTTGCATATCACCCCTCCAATATAAGTTTTACAACAAGTATGATTCCTCAACTCTTGAGTTTACATTTAAAGGTTTTGCTGTTGGTAGTTGCTTCAATATTTTAAGTTTTAACATGTGTTTTAGTCTTGTCATGGCAGGTCATGTGTTCTCGTACATGAACATCCCTTTAAAGCACCTTGTAACTCACATGAACAATGCAAAGGACATGGGGTATGTAACAGATTCTCTCTTTTTAAATATGATTATGTCAATAAGCTTTTATAGGATAATTATGTTCAGAATTATTTGATGTGGAAATTTCTTTTAGAAAATCACAATTAACAAGGAAATTACATTCCATTATTTACACAAATGTACATAATTTATTTTTATAATCAGATTTTTATATTCCTCATGAGCATATTAAGCTTTGAATTTGTGAAAAGGTAATGTGAAACATCGTGACAATGCTTAATTAAAATGATGGAAATTTAGAACTGGATTTATTAAGCATTACACATACATTATACATTTATATTTTTAAATTGAATGGGCATGTACTTCATATATTTATAAATACACAAAGTATTTTTAATATTCACACTGCTTATCATCTAATAACATTATGAAATTATTTCTTTTCCATTGACATTCATTTCATCTTTTGACAACTTCAATTTATTTCATTTTATGGATCTTTTCTTCTACTCTCTTCAAAGATTCATATATTGATGGGCTTCCAAATAATTTTAACTTTTAACTTCTGCAAATAGTGGTAAAAATAGACATTGTTGTGAATTTAGCTTTGCACATTTATCTGATTTCTTCAAATTATTAGCATTGAAATATAATGGGCAAAACTTATGTAACATTTAAATTTTCATAAGTGCATATTGGCTTTTAGAAACACTATACCAACTTTTGATCCCAAATATCATGTATGAAAGTATGCATTTCCTCATATTTTTGTTAGACTATTTTATCAGTCTTTTTAATGTCTTCTAACATGCTGAATCCATCTCTGACTTGCATTTACTTAGTATTCAATGATATAGGGCTTAAATGTTTTGTTGTATCTGACCTTGGTATTTGTATTCATCCATCCATTGTTAAATTAATTGCTAGGTTGTAGAAATTTTCTAAATTTTGTAAGTTTTTCCAAGCTACATTTTGCTTTAGTTTGTGACCAGTGTCTTTATCCATATTGATGCTTTATATAGTAATTCTGCTAAAACAGAAGCTGTGTCTCACATCAACATTTTTCTCAAGTCACATACATATTCTGTTACTCAGAATTTTGTTTCTGTTTCTTATATAGTTTTAATTTAACCTCTTATTTAATTTTTGCATGAGACTATTTCTGAATTCTTCATTCCGCTATTGCTGATTTATTTATTTGCTAATTATATTTATAGATATAATTTTCAATACTTCATATGAATATTGGCATTTGTAATTGACTAAATTATTTCTCCTTTTGTTTTCTTCCAACATTCATAGACATTGTCTCTTATCACAGTTCATTTTACAATGCATGGCATAGATTAATAATAAAACTTATCATCATTTTATTCTTTCTAGCTTCATTGTCTCTATTTTTTTCTAAAATAATGCATTTTAATTTATGGAAGGAGGATAGGAATAGAGAAGCAGTAGAATGAATCTGATATAACTTTCCTACGTACATCTAAGAATACCACAGTGAATCTCAACATTGTGTGCATTCACCAGACTGGGATCCTAATTAGAATATGATACATTCCATGTTTGTATAAATATGTCAAAATAGACTCTACTGTTATGTATGACTAAAAATAACAAACATTTTAAAAATAATGTTATGTAATTATATTTTAAAATATGAAAAACAATAACACTATATTTAAAAGGATGTTTCATGCCACTTTTATTAAATTTATTATGGTTTACTTGGTCTAACACAAAAAATGAATTAAGTTTTATATTGTATATAAAAAGTTCTTAGTTTTTGTTTGGTTTTGGTTTTAGATTTGCAATAGTAAATTACATTGTCACTGTGACGCAGGATATGCTCCACCAGATTGTGAAGAACTACTGTCATCACCAGGAGGGAGCTTCGATGATGGATTTTGGGTTTCATCAGGTTAGTCTCCAGATCATATTTTTCTAATAGAGCTTGTGATCCCATAGAAATGGTCTATAATTTTTTTGTTCTTTATGACTATTAAGCACCTGACAAGTGGGTAATACAACTGAGGAATTGAGATTTCCATTTTTATTTTACCTTTTTAAATAGCCATGGGTGGCTATTTTGTAACCACACTTTAAATTTTAACCTAGAAGTAGGCATTTTAGGAGTTCTCCCCTAAATTTTAATCATGATTGTTTGAACATGTTTATTTATATAGCAAATGTTTTTCATAGACATATATTTAAATTATATGAATGATGATATTTACATAGTCTGTATTATCCAAGAGTGTCCTATGTTGTGATGTCCTATTTCACAATCAAGTTGCAAGTTTAAGTGTAGCACTGAATAGGAAAAATATCCATTTCTTCCATATCCAAAGCATATGATAGTAGGCACTAAATATTTGATTCCATTAAATCTAGTTTGTGTTTTTTAAAAATTTTATGTTATATCCATTAATGTGTGCCTTAATCTGTACTATTTTTATTGCTCTAATTTCTCAGACTAGTTTCTAGAGATGAAAATCTTATTCTCCCTGATTTTAATTTTTTTCAATTTTTATGTATTTAAGACTATAAATATCCTTATGAATTATATCTGTAAAACTACATATACCCAGTAACAAAAATTTGATATGGCATATCAAATTTAACATAGTACTATTCTTTGAAAATGTCAGGATTTTATTAATTTTTATGGCTGAATAGTATCCCATCATGTTTATATAAATACATAAGAAAAGAAAATTATGTATATTTATATTATTAAATTATTATATTATTAAATCAGCTGTTATGACACCAATACATTGTAAAAAACATAACAACTAAATAAACTGGAATTAATAATAATTAAAAATTGTTGTGAATAAAAAGGCACCATCAAAGTGAAAAGAAAATCCACAGAAACTATTTTCAAACCATTATCTGTTGAGGTAGAGAGTATGAAGAGAAAACCTACAACACAACACCACAATAAGAAAAATGGCCAAAGAACTCAAGTGGACATTTTTCCAAAGCTGTTGAGATGGCCAGTTGTACATGAAAAGATGCTCAATATAAATAATCCTTAAAGAAAATGCAGTCAAAACTATAATTACATATTAAATCATACTATTAGAAATGGCTACTATGGAAATGTTTAGAAAATATCAAATTTTGGACAGGATATAGAATATGAGAATGAGAACTCTTATGCATTGATGGTTGGATTTTTATTTATCCTTGAAAGAATTGAAATTTTAACAATGGTCCCAATATGAATACAAAATACTTTTAAAAAACCACTATAACAGGTCAAGTATTATATTATTCTGCTTCAAATAGTCAAAGATGAATTCTGATTGCCAGAGGTTAGGGGAAAGGCAAGTGTTAATATTTTAGATGGTTTCAGTTTGGCAGTGGGATGGTATTATTGATGGTGGCACAAAAATGTGAATGTAACTTAATGTGACCTTTAAAATATTTGAAATTCTAAATTTTATGCATTTCATATTTTATTTTAATATAAATTAATTTAGGCAGATTTCATTTATTATATATCAAAATAATATAATGTGTAGAGATAATCTTAAGAAATGTGACATGCACTGAAATTTAAAAATTTATTATTGAAGGTAATTAAAGATATATGTAAAATATATATAAATATATCACATTCATTTAATGTTAAATTCAACATTGTTAACACAGAATGCTTTGCCCATGGATTTGACACTATTCTTAGTAGACCCAGCTGAAATTTTATATTTTCTTTACTTTCTTTTTCTCTATGTGTGTATGTATGTTTGTGTGTGTGGTTAAGTTACTCCTTTCATGATTTATTCTGGGGCACTTAACTCATTTACATTTTCTATTACAATACTAATGGGCTGATTGCCTGATTTTTATTTTTATATTTTGATTTTCTGGGGGTTTTGTTTGTTTTTTCATTACTGGGTATTGAACTCAGTGCTGCTCTACCACTGAGCTACATTCTCAACCCTTTTTTGTATTTTTGTTTTTAAATTTTGAGACAGGGTTTCATTAAGTTGCCAAGCAAGACTGGCCTTGAATTTGAAATCCTCCTGCCTAAACATCCCAAGTCATTGGCATTAAAGGCATACACCACTACATATAGTTTATTTTCGTTTTCAGGCTTCATTCTTTTGTTTAATAAAAATAAGTTTCCATTGGTTTTATTTTTCTCTCTTTTACTTCTTCTTTGCTCTGTCTTGTAAACTGAAGAAACTTCTATTAAACAATAGTAAATTTAGTGTCATAATTAGCAGTTAGAAGAAATTATGAGTAACATTGCATATATAAATTTAAGTATATGTAAAAAATTATAAATGCATGTCAAATATATATTATCAATGACTTTATTGTCAATTACATCTAAGTGTATTGAGGTAAAATAAATGTATAATGTATTTTGAAACAGACAATATTATTAAACTTCTAAATTCAAATTCATTAATTCTTTAACCATATCACTGGACTTGTAAATTTGAACATAGCTCTTAAAAATGTTAAAAAGTACACTTATATTTTCAGACCAAGCCAAACTTATGCTTTTAAACAAAAAAACTGTTCCTAAGAAAAATGGACTCTTGATCAGTTTCTACATTTTTCTACCTTTCCTCATTATAACTTCCATGGTTGTTCTTAAATGGGATAAAATGAAGGAATTTTTGCATAGAGAAGAAACAGTAAGTGGAGGGTAAGTAAACATAGTATTTTTATTTTTCTTAACTAATTTGTTATTGATTAATGATAGTTATACATAACATTGTGATTTATTTTGACATAATTATAAATTCAGGGAGTATAACTTGCTCCAATTAAGATCCCCTTACACTTTCCCTCCCCCTGTTCCCTGTCCTCTACTCTAGTGATCTTTCAACTTATTTATAATTTCTTTAAAAAATAGTATATTGTGGAGATACATAATAATGAGAGTCACTGTAGTTTATTCATACATGTACATTGGAAAGTTAGGTCAGATTCATTCTGAAGAAACTCTCCTGATTTTGATGGATCCCCCCACCTTTGTTTTCTGTCTCCCTTTCCCTGCCCCTTAATTTTAGACTAACTTCTACATATCAGAGAAACTGTTCAACACTGGACTGAGTCTGATTTATTTCATTTAGCATTATAGTCTCCAGTCCCATCCATTTATCAGCAAATGACATAATTTCCATTTTTTTAATGGCTTTTTTCATGATTCATTCATCTGTGGAAATGTGGCTACATTGGTTCCATAGTCTAATATTGTGAATTGTGTTGCTATGAACATTGATTTGACTGCATTCCTAGAGTATGCTGATTTTTAGGTATTTTGAATATATACTGGGGAGGGGGACTGCTGGGTCATATGGTGGTTTCAATCCTAGTTTTTTGAGGACTATCTACACTGCTTTCCAGAGTGGTTGCACTAATCCACCAGCAATGTATGAGTGTTACCTTTTTCCCACATCTTTGCCAACAATTATTATTTGTATTCTTGATAATTGCCATTCTGATTGAAGTCAGAAGAAATCTCAGTGTAGTTTTGATTTCCATTTCCGTAATTGCTGGAGATGCTGAATATATTTTCATATATTTGTTGACCATTTGCATTTCTTCTTTTGAGAAGTGTCTGTTTAGTTATTTTGATTATAGATGGAGCATGTGCTTTTTGGTGTTTGAGTTTATTCTATTAGTATGGATATTATTCATATATTCTGCATATGAATGCCCTATCTGAGGAGCAGGTGGCAGAGACCCTTTCCAATTCTGTAGGCTTGCTTCACACTCTTGTTTCCTTTGACATGCAGAAGCTTTTAAGTTTGCTGGCATCCCACCTATTGATTTTTAGTTTTATTTCTTGCACTTTAGGGGTCTTGTTAAGGAGGAAATTTCCTGTGCAGATATTATGGCCTCTTATGACTATATTTTTTTCTTGTAGTTGAAGAATTTCTGGTTTAATTCTGAGCCTAATTAATCCTGAGTCTAATTAAATTAAATTCCGGTCTAATTAAGCCACTTTGATTTGACTTTTGTGCAGGGTGAGAGATAGAGGTCAAGCTTCCTTCTTGTACATATGGATTTCCAGTTTTCCCAGTTCTTAAAAAGACTATCCTTCCTCCAAGGTATGTTTTTGGCACCTTTGTCTAGTACGAGATGACTGTATTTATGTGGGTTTGTCTCTGTGTCATATATTCTAATCCATTGGTCTTCCTTTCTATTTGTATGCCTGTACTATACAGTTTTGTTACTGTTACTCAGTAGTGTAATTTCAGGTCTGGAATCTTCATCTACTCCAATGATTTTTAAATTTGTTCTCTTGGTGATGTGCCAAATTTCTTTTGGTCATAGTCTTTATGGGTTGAAAAATCTGCAGAGATCCTAATTGGTTTCACCCTATATGTGATCTAATTCCATTCTCTCATGGCTTTTAAGATTCTCTCCTTATTCTTTATGCCAGGAATTTTAATTATAGTGTGCCTTGATGTAGATATGTTGTGATTTTGTACATTTGGTATCCTGTAAGCCTCTGGTATTTGGTTTTCCAATTCATTCTTCATGTTTTGAAAATTCTCTGACATTATTTCATTGAATAGATTGCTCATTCCTTTGGTTTGGAACTCTATGCCTTCCTCTATCCCAATAAGTTGTAAATTTGGTCTTTTTATGTTATCCCATATTTCTTGAGTGCTCTGTTCATGGTTTCTTACCATCTTCACTGTGTGATCTACATTCTTTTCGAGATTATGTATTTTTTCTTTATTGTCTGAGGTCCTGTCTTCCAAGTAATCTGTTGGTAATGCTTTCTATTGAGCTTTTAATTTGGTTTATTGTTTGTTTCATTTCAAGTATTTCTGTTTTTTTTCCCACAACCTCCCAGTTCTTTATCAAAGTAATCTTCTGCTTCCTATATTTGCTTATGTAGCTCTTTATCAAAACGATCTTTTGCTGCCTGTATTTGTTTGTTTATATCGTCTTTTAATTCACAGAACGTTTTAATTATGTACATCATCAACTCCTTCTCTCTGATTTCTTCAGTTGGACTATCCATGGATTCTATTAATGTAGTATCTTGATTTGTTTGGGGCACCTTTTCCCCTTGTTTGTTCATACTGTTTGTGTGTCTTTCCTTCTAACACTGAGGATTCATAACATCACTGTTTTTTACACTTTAGGCTTATAGTGCCCCCTGCAATGTTCCAATACCTCTCCTGCCTAGCTGATGTTCCAAGCTGGGAGTTTCCACAACTAAAAATGGCAAGGATGGGTCACAAGATGGAGGCAGCTGGTTTCAGCAATGGAGTGTCAGGTTGGGGTAGTGGGGGGTGGGATGGGGGTGGGGGTGGGAGACCCGGTGGTGGTGTTTGGCAATGTGTTCAAAGATGCAGCTCAGACCCAGTGTGGGCTCTGCGGGCATCCGTGGGGCTGTCCTGGGTCTGCCTCTCCACTGAATTTTTAATTTGGTTTTGTGAGTCTTTCATTTCCAGAATATTTGTTTGGTTCTCTTTGAGAATCCCTATCACTTTATTGAAGTGATTTCTTCTTTTCTGAAGAAAACTCTAATTGAATCTTGGTTTGGAGTTCATTAGGGTTTGAGACATTTTGAAGATGTTCCTCAACCTTTAGTTTTTGATCCCTCCTGCTGAAATGCAGGAGCCACTTCCCTAGTTGCTGTGAACCTCTCATCAGCCAGTACTGGTTTGTCAGCCCAAGGTCCTAGAGCTGGCTACTGGGAAAGGTGTAGCATTGTGTGGTAGAGATCAGGATGTAAGGCTCTGGGTTATTGATGTGGTTCTCCATGTCCCAGCTCCCTTCTACAGAATTCTTTTTAAGGTCATATAGAGCCTGGTTGGCTATCTCTACAAGCACCAGTTCTGTAGTGTGGGCTCTCTGTGGGTGATCTGTGGGGCAGAGGTATTTCTCCTGACACAGCTCACTGTCCTTCCTCCTGAGTAGGATGAGTTGGTTCTATCTTCCACTGTCCCAGGTTGGGTATAGTGGGTGCTATTTTCCTTTGCTGACTGTGACTGAGGCAGTACACAACCAGTTTCCCAGCAATGTCTAGAGATTCACCTGTTGTGGTCACAGGTCAGGCTATGTGCTGTGGCTATTCACTCTCTTGGACCTACACAACTCTGTTTTGACTGACTTCCCAGTGATTCTGATTTTGGTCCAAACATATTCTTTTCAAGCTTCCTTAGACTCACACATTTTCTAGGCTTGGCTTTCTACTGATTGTAGCAATGATGTATGGACAGTCCTTCTATGTTGCTGAATGCCCAGGCCTGAACTGTAGCCATAACCAGGGGGACAGACCTTCTAGATTTCTTAGGACCTCAGGCAATTTCCCATTATTTTTTCCCCCAACTTCAGTAGTCACCAAAGGCATCAGTCCTAAGGGTTTCCCTTACTTCTGAGGCCAAAACTGCCTTCATGCTTGGATTAGAGCTCTTATTTCCTGCCTTTGGGAATGGTGGGATACCCCTCTGTCTCTGCCCTGGCTCCCACAGGCATTGCTGGGGTACCTGAAGCATTCCTTCCCTCTGGGGACACTGTATGGGGAATTCCTTCCCTGTCTAGGTTTTTGTGGGGGAAGTACGGAGGGCCAGAACCCTTCCAGGGATGCAACTTTCCTGCCTGGTTTCCATTCATTGCCCAGGGTTTTGCAGAGACTGTATGGAGAACTCCTCCCAGACAGTTTCCTTGGGATCCTCATTCCCTGTCCAGATTCTGTGAAGAAACCCTTTCTTGCCTAGGTTCTCACAAATGATTTATAGGGTGACTGGTCAGTTGTGGAATTCCACATTGCTTTCTGTTCTCAAATTGGTATTAAAGTGTTAAAATCTGGATTGAGGACAGTATTGATGCTTCTAATGCGATTAAATATGGTCTGTTCCCCTGCCCCCAAATGAGTTCTTTCCTGCTCCATCTTTCCCTCTCTTTTGTCCCTCCCCTGCTCCCATAGGGTTAGGGAAGTCTCGCTCTTGGTTTCTATGCTGATAATCCATCTTTTAGTCTCTCCAGATGTCAGTCTTTGTAATATTGGATATTAGAGCATTTATTTTGTCACCCAACTCTTAGATTTGTTTAGAACCATTAAATAAGAGATAAAACACACATGAAAGCTCACTTCAATTTCTAGCGGTTAAATATCCTTCATGTCCCTGGAGACCCAGAACAATTGAAGCAGCTCAGTAAATCCTCAGTCCCTTTCAGATAGAAAACCATGTTGACCATGATTGTTTTAGGGAGGATCTGTCAAATTTCCAAGCAACACCAAATTCCTTGCATTGACAGTTAAGTTGTGCTAAGGAGATCAACAGAGACAGTTCTGAAAGAAATGATAATTTTGGAATTTGAAAATGTTTGTATAAATTATATTTTTCAATATGTATAATATTACAATAGATATATTAATCTGCCATACAGACAAATTAGAGTAAATAATGGATGGATAGGTTTTTAGTTTGATATTTTAAAGAAATGCTTTACATCTTTGAAAGTTAGATTAGCATTTGCAAAAGACAAAACTGTAGATGTTTGAATGGGATATGAAATGCTAAGACAGTGCTAGTACATATTTATTGACTATTTAGCATAAATCTAATTGTTTGTTACTTTTTTGTTTTTGTTTTTGCTTGATTACTTGTTTTCTAACTTTAAAGAAAATGCTATTTCTTTTATACAGATCTACAATGGAAGACAGCAATACTAACAGCACCGAGTCATAGAGGTAAAAATGATTGAAAAAATTATATTGTTAACAAAAAGATACAATTTATAAAGTAAATTTTTATTGTTAACAATATCTTAGTATGACAACACTATTATTCAGGTGGTGTCATCTTGATTTCTATGTTTCAAATGCTAAAATAAGGCTAAGTTAAAACATTTGATGTTAATTTTGTATCATATTAATGTAACAATATTTAATGTAAACAAATTCTAGCCAGAAATTTATCAAGTTAATTACTTATAATAAGAAATACTTTAAAGAAATCTCTTTAATGAATAATAATACCTTCTGTTTCCTCACATAAGGCTCCAGGTGACAAATTGACAAAAGAGATTCTCTCTTCACCTTTATATTTCTTCCTCACTAAGACTCCATGTATCTAACTTTATTTTAAAAGGAGGAAATGGACATGAGGAATAATTTAAATAAGATTTTCATGAAATATATAGTGGTCAGAATGCAGAATTTAAACCCTTAAGGGCAGTGGTGAAACAAATAGCCTAACATGTGATTGTGGCTAAGGGATGGAACTGGCTTTGATTGAGGACCTCTGAGATCCCAGGAAGACTGCCAGCTGTACTCTCCCTCCAATGTAGAGAGAAGGTTTTTACAATGAGAAAATGTAGGGATCCAAATATATTATTAAAGTTTTATTTCAAATATGTAAAAAATGATTATTTTATATATCAGTCCTATCACTGGTAGTCATCACAAAAATTCATAAGTTCAACAAAGCAAGAGAGTTTGCCTAATTGTCTGCTGTTCGTTCATACCTCACTTTGACTGATGGTCAAGTCAATGGTTTGCTGTTTTCTGTGTTACCAAGTATTGGGGGTTGGTGACATTCAAGGTTCTTTGAAGATTCTTTATTTAAAATTTTAAAAATCTCATTATTAATCCTGCTGCCCGTCACTTGACAGCAGTTCTAAACCAGATACCCAGACTTTCCTAGAGATAAATACAGACCTTTATCTTTTTGTGGCTGTATAGCAAGGCTCTTTTATACAACATGTGGCTCCATATGTGTATCTGAGAAATAGCTGCTCATGGATGATTCAGTCAGAATGTTTGACGAGTAAGAAGGATGATAGTTCATCTGCATAGGAGCTGCATAGGAAAGTGGGCTATCACTGTGATTAGGTCAGAAAAGTCAAACTCATTCAGGGTCTTGGAGCTCTGGAGGACAGTGTCTTTTCCTGAGAGGAAAAG